GTCATGTACTATGAGCTGTCACTGTACCATGCCTTGTCATTATACTATGAGCTGTCACTGTACCATGCTCTGTCATTATACTATGAGCTGTCACTGTACCATGCCTTGTCATTATACTATGAGCTGTCACTGTACCATGCTCTGTCATACTATGAGATGTCACTGTACCATGCTATGTCATTAAACTATGAGATGTCACTGTACCATGCTATGTCATTAAACTATGAGATGTCACTGTGCCATGCCACTATGATCTGTCACTGTACCATGCCCTGTCATTATACTATGATCTGTCACTGTACCATGCCCTGTCATTATACTATGATCTGTCACTGTACCATGCCCTGTCATTATACTATGATCTGTCACTGTACCATGCCCTGTCATTATACTATGGGCTGTCACTGTATCATGCCATGTCATTATACTATGAGCTGTCACTGTACCATGCCCTGTTGTTATACTATGAGCTGTCACTGTACCATGCCCTGTCATATACTATGAGCTGTCACTGTACCATGCCCTGTCGTTATACTATGAGCTGTCACTATACCATGCCCTGTCATTATACCATGATCTGTCACTGCACCATGCCCTGTCATTATACTATGATCTGTCACTGTACCATGCCCTGTCATACTATGATCTGTCACTGTACCATGCCCTGTCGTTATACTATGAGCTGTCACTGTACCATGCCCTGTCATTATACTATGATCTGTCACTATACCATGCCCTGTCATTATACCATGATCTGTCACTGCACCATGCCCTGTTATTATACTATGATCTGTCACTGCACCATGCTCTGTCATTATACTATGAGCTGTCACTGCACCATGCCCTGTCGTTATACTATGAGCTGTCACTGTACCATGGTCTGTCATTATAATATGAGCTGTCACTGTCCCATTTCACATTATTTCCATATAAGCTGTCACTAGACCATTCTATTTCAGTTCATTACATAATGAGCTGTAACTCTGCCATGCCATTGCATTATGACCTGTTACCGCACCGCACCGCACCGCACCGTACTGCACCATGTTATGCTATGAACTATGACTATATCATATGCTATGTTGTTGCACTGTTTGACTATGATGGTTCAGTATGACATGCCATGTAATTAGCTATACTATTGTACTGTTCTTATAATATACCATGTTATATTGCTATTAATTATCACTATGACATGTCTCAGAAATGTTCATCTTTTACTCAAAGTGACGGATTGATAGATGCAGACTTCATGCCCACTCTCTAATGGCGACATCAGCACCCATCATAAGTGTTGACATGCTTTCCATGTCAAGCCTCCCCCTGCCTTCTGTGCCAACTCCAACACAAAGAGTTGTCATGTTCTATCATGTCAAATGATATGGCTTCCAGGTTATTTTCAACACAAAGAGTTTTGTCCTCATATTTCCACCTAAGTGAAGAATATGGTGCAATATGGTGCTCCAAAATTGATTTGGTTTATTGATCATCATCGATTCTAAACCACTCATTCTACCAGTCATCCTCTAATTTCTACAAGTTTTGCTTCAGTGACTTTTCCAACATCAACCATCACTGTCTATTATTATGGTAATTCAAGCTTACATGGACAATGGACTTCTTGAGCACCTTTACAAATACCAGTGCACCTGGAATTAGTAATGATCTACTCAACATTCCAAATGCAGGGTTTCTCTCTGTTGTGTTACTAATGACTTGTATTCATATTCAAATGACAAATCAACCAATTTATGCAAGAAACCAACTACTTCATTTCAGGAACAATAGTAATCAAGGTAAACTCAAATGCCCCCCTCTGCCTGGCAAAACTTCACATTACTCGATATTCAATCAGTCAAAGCCTTCAACTCGTAGAGGTAAAACTGCTGGTAGTATGAAATTGCAACCTATCTTTCAAACATCCATACCAAGAAATCAACGTTTTCAACTTTGCTGCTGGAATATACTGTCAATTCGAAATAAAGCCTCAAACATTTCTGACTATTTGTTGAACATAACATCGATGCACTGGCAATTACTGAGTCATGGCTAAAACCTAGTGGTGATGAACCCATCATTAATGAAGTCACACCACCAGGATATTCATATAGTCATTTTCCATGTGTGAAATCTAAAGGAGGTGGGATTGCCTTCATATGTAAATCACAAATTAATGTCATCACCTGGAAACCGCTACGTAATTTCACTACCTTTGAGGCTTTTGAAATCACATTTCGTCATCATCATATTACCTTTAAAATTATCATTATCTATAGACCTCCCCCAAATTCAAAGAATAGATTCATCGTTTCGAAATTCTTAGATGAATTTGGGTCTCTCTTGGAATCATCCTCTGTATATTCTAGCAGTCTGATTATTACTGGGGATTTAAATTTCCATTGGACAACCTCATCATCCTCCACTGATCTTCATAAATTTAAGGAATTGACCAACTCTTGCAACCTGATTCAGTAGGTCAGTGCACATACTCATAACCGCGGCCACATTTTGGATCTAGTTTCAACTGATATAGACACCATCATTCATTCAGTTGTCATTGATAACAACTGTGTCTCTGACAATTTTTCTATTCGCATAGAACTTGTATTACCCAAGTCTCCACTTGTACAAAAAGAAATAACTTATCGTCGGATTCAAGCTATTGTCACAGAAGAATTTGCCAAAGAAATTGAATCAGTATTACGGAAGGAACCCCCAATAGATGTAAACAAAGCAATTTCACATTACAACTCTTGCCTTAGAAGATCTCTAAACTGGGAGCTAAACAACTTCGTCGCTCACTTAAGAATACCTGGCGTTCAACAAAACTTGACAGACAAATTAATCTCAATGTTGTACTGTTAATAAGCTATGCAAAGTCCAAATACTACTCAAACATAATTGAAGATAACTCCACGGATCTGAAAGCACTGTTTAGATTCACATCAAATTTCACCACCAATAAATCATCATTACCTACTCATTCTACTACTAGTCAACTGATATTTAGCAACTTCTTTGTCGACAAAATCACCAATATTCGCATCAGCTTGGATGCCAACAATCAGGACACAAATCTGCCTACTAGTATCTGCTCTTTAAACCCTACATCAGCAACACTCTGTAACTTCACGTCTACGACCACAGATGAAGTCAACAAAATAATCACAGAAGCGCCATCCAAGTCTTGCTGCACATCTACTTAAGAAGTTTAAAATCCAGCTCATACCTTGGATCACCATCGTTATCAACCTCTCTCTTCTGCATGTAATCGTCCCAACCTCTTTCAAGTTAGCAGTTGTTACACCTCTACTTAAAAAAACCTCACTTGATCAGGAAATTCTCAAGAACTACAGACCTATATCAAATTTACCATTCATCTCCAAAGTGCTTGAAAAAGTTGTAGCCCTCAGATTAAACGAATACCTCACTAAGAACGCTCTTCTCAACCACTGCAATCTGCTTACAAAAAGTATCACATTACTGAGACAGCACTTGTCAAAGTCCATAGTGACAACTTAAATACTCTCGACACAGTCCATTATGTAATTTTAATACTGTTGGACTTATCTGCGGCCTTTGATACTATCGACCATCGTATATTGCTGACACGACTAGCCAACCTTGGCATACA